GTGCGAGGGGGGGGGAGGAGATGTGAGGTTTGCTTCCCTCCCCACTGTCCAAGGGGAAGACCTTTGGTTTCTCCCAAGTTTTAAAAAATCTTCCTTAAGGGCCCATCTAGATTAGACACATTTGCATTGTGCAGAGCTACATCAGAGCAAGTGCCCATGTTCCATCAGCACAGCATGAATGCCGTAAGGTTTGCGCGTGGGGGGGGGGGGGTCAGGATCTCTGCATCGTGTAACAGCAGGGGCAGTAGTTCAGACTGGCCATGATCATCCCATGAGCAAATGGATCACTTGTGCCTGCTGCCCTGACTCAGGGTGGGGCAGCAGGCACTAGTCAGCAGATCAAGCCACGTTTTTCCTGCCCCACATAGCTCTGCTCTTTGTTAAGTTTCAGTGCTCATGGCTAAACTCTCCCGCTTGAGCGGAAGTCACTGCTCCTCTTGCCTTTACAAAGGTGTGGCAGCAGAGAGGTGGTTACCTTGTCTGTTGGCTGTTGAAGGATTGGCAGCTTCTCCTCCAGCTTGTCCAGCCCCCTGCATGCATACTCCTTTGCTGTGGAAACTGTTAAGAAAACCAGTTTAGTGTCTCACGTGACAAGCCCCTGCCATTACAGCAAGTTCTGGGACACTGACAGCTGGAGTTGATGAAGCTAGAGAACCTGGTGCTTGAGGACTCTGAAGGGGTGGCAGAAGTCAAAGGAAAGACTTTGCTAAGTAGGCACAAGGGTGAGCAGATTTGCAACAGCTTGGAATGGGTTGAGAACTGGACCAGTGCCATTATTATGCTTGGAGGCCGTTGCTGTGGAGAACTGGCAGATGCAGGAATCCTACCCGTCTGCACAGCTCCGAGCTTAGGCAGTACAAGGTTGTTCCATGCTATGCTCCCCCGAAGCAGACACGCTTTCACCCAGGGGTTCTGTAGCCACTTCCACCTCCATAAACCCTCCAGGTGGAGCTTTCAGTGGCCTCGGGAGTGGGTTATGTTCCTCTAGGAAAGCAGGAGATGTTCCTTAGCCAGCCAATGGCTTCTGATGTGACTAGCCTGACTCCTCCCTCTGGCAGGGCATGAGGCTCTTTGCTTTGCACCCTGGGAAGGCCCTTCACTTGGGCCATGCCACCCCCTTCCCCAGGCATCCCCTCCCCAGTTACTCACTCTGCGGCTCGAGTTTGGACAGGATTGGCTGGGCACCACTAACTGCAGCCGCGGCCATGGTCTTCATGCCTTTCTCTGCCACGTCACAGACGGATTTGACATATGGGTAGCTCTCTTTGGTGGAGGTGTAGGCTGTGGAGACCATGTCATAGGCAGAGCTGACCAAGGGCAGGTTGGCCACCCGGTTTGCTATGTTCTAGGGGAGAGAAGGCAGCAAGGTAGAGAGGGTGAGGGCTACCAGGTAGTCTCCCCTTCCAAGCAGGGTCATGGACCCTGCCATTGGTAGTTGGGGTCTGTCAGCTGATCTGGCCTAGAGGGAGCCATTCTCAGAGGGTCATTTACTCTCCCCACTTCCAGCTTGCCAAGTGCTCCCCCCTCTACTGCATGATTAGACAGATCCAGCATCCGCCATTTGTGAGACCAGGAC